TCGTCAACCCCTGCTACATGTGAGTCAAGAGAAGCCTCCAGCTTGACGTCTGACCATTTGCATGAGCCATTTCCTGGAAATAAATCAGTCTCTCTCTCTCTGTATACACACACACACTTCATTGGTTTTGCTCCTTTAGAGAACCCAGCCTAAGAGCTTTGGTACTGAGAAGTGAGAGTGCTGCTCTAACAGATACCTAAAATTTGGAAGTGGTTTTGGAATTGGGTAATGGGTAGAGGCTGGAAGAGTTTTAAGGTGCCTAATAGTAAAAGCTTAGATTGCCGTGAAGAGACTGTTGGTAGAATTATGGACGTCAGAGGCAGTTCTGGTGAGGGCTCGGAAGGAAGTGAGGAAAGCCATAGAGAAAGTCCATCGACTTAGAGAATACATATGGCACCGGCAATAGAATGTTGCTAGAAATGTGGACGTAAAATGTGCTTCTAGTGAGGCTTTAAAAGAAAATGATGGACATATGATTGGACAACGGAGGAAAGATGATGGTTTTTATGCAGTGGCAAAGAACTTTTCTGAATTATGTTCAAATGTTTGGTGGACGGTGGAACTTGTAAGTAATGAACTTGGATTTCTGGCTGAGGAGATTTCTAAGCAAGATCTTAAAGGGGCCATGTAGTTTCTCCTTGCCACTTATAATAAAATGCAAGAGGAAAGCAGTGGACTTAAAAATGAACTGTGCAAAATGAAAACAACTTAAAAGATTTGGAAAATTCTGTTGTACAAACTAAAGACGTGGTCTAGAATGTTCACCAAGGGTGTGGCTACACAGTCTTTTGTTGAAGAGATAAAGCCTGTGACTGATGAATCTATACAACTGCCATAGGAGAAAACCCAGCAGCTTAGACTGAAGGGGACAGAGAAAGAACGAAAGGGGAGAATGATGTCTGCGTCTTGGAATTCTAAGGGCAGGAAATTGGCCAAAGGAGCTACATCTTTTGTCCTCCGAGAGAAGAAAACAACCATCCCTGGAGCGGCTCAGAGATCAGTGGAACTGTTGGAAGGAGCACGGAAAGCAGGGCCTTCTTGGTTTCAAAGGGTGGGGACACGGTCTCCTGGATTTCAAAGGTTGGGGCTGCAGCCTCCTAGGTTTCAAAGAGCCGGATCTTCGCCAACTCGGTTCCGGAGTGTGGGGCTGCTGTTAAGGTGTGCTGGGGCATGGGGCTGCTACCCAAGGCTGAGGGGGTGGGGCTACCATGCCCAAGGGACAGAAGAATGGGGCCTACCATGGCTGAGGGGCTGGTGTTGCCACTCAGATAGACTAGGAGAATGGGGCCTCCCAAAGCTGAGGGAGTAGAGTTGCCATACCAGAGTGCCTAGAAGGCGGAGCTGAAGCCCAGGGCTGAGGGGCTTTTACCCGGAATCCAGAGAGCATGGCCAACACCCAGAGTCTGGAGGGTGGGCCTCTTGCCCAGATGGTCCTAAAGAACAGAGGATTATTTTCAAGCCTTGAGAGCTAATGTATAAATTTCTGCTGGGTTTTGGACTTGCTGGGTGCATGTTATCCCAATTTTTTTCATTTGTAATCTCTACCTTGTGCCTGTTTCACCATTGTACTTTGGAAACAGATAACTTGTAGTCTAGATTTCACAGTTCACAGATGAAAAGAAATTTTGCCCTAGGATGAAATACACCTAAAGTCTCACCTATATTTGATTTAGATGATTCAGAAGATCAGATTGTGGACTTGGAGTGAATTTAAGACTTTTGGGATGATGTGATGGGGTGAATGTGTTTTACATGTGGCAAGGACATGAATTTCTGAGGGCCAAGGGGTGGAATGTTACGGATTGAATTGTGTTCCCCTTCGGTGTGACAGATCGCTTTTATAGGGCCTTTCTTGCCATGGTTTTGTAACTCCCACCAAATGAGGTGCTTGTAGACCATCAGGAGGATTGGGTAGCTTGCTAATAATGTAAATAAGGTGCATGGCGTCCTTGTGGGGGTGGGACCATGCAAATAAGGTATATCAAACCCTAACGAGGGAATTGGTCGGTTTTGCCATCCTGCTAGGCTGGAAGGGAGGCTCTCAACACCACCAAGAAGGAAGAGCCAGGAGTGGAGCGCGTCCTTTGGACCCAAGGTCCCTGTACTGAGAAGCTCCTGGAGCTAGGAAACCAAGAGAGAGAGCTGTAACACTGAAGACACTGAGAAACAGTGGCAGAGAAATGGCAGCAGCAGAGGCAGGAGACAGTGCACTGGGCTCCCAGGCCCAGGAAGCGAGAAAGCTGAGTGCCTTCATGCAGGAGGCTCACTGGCAGAGTAGGGTACATCCAGGTACTTGGTGGAACTAGGTTTGCCGACTCACAGAGCTAGAGCTGAATGCCTTTGGGCTGAGGCTTACTGGTGGAGTAGGGTTCTTCTGGGTTCTTATCAGCAGAGCTGGAAGAGCTTTGTGACACTTGCCAGAGCAGGGCAGAGGCCAGGCCTAGGGCCAAGGGCCAGAGAGAGGCATGCCTGTGTGTACTGCTGAGAAGGGGCTGTCTGATCAAAGAACTGAATCCTGAGCATTCTTGAACCTGAATTGTAACCAGTTACTTCCCTAATAAACCCCTTAACTGTGAGTATGGTCTGTGATTTCTGTGTGGCCGTTGTAACACGTTATTGAACCCGGTAGAGAAGTACAGAGTACCGTGGGAGGTACAATTGCTGTCAGAATTGGTAAAAAGGTTGGAGAGAGGAGGTGTGTCTGACCTTCACCTCATAGGAATCGGTCTTGGGCTGTTGATTTTTATTCTCCTTTCCCTTTTGTGAAGTTAGATGAGGAGGTCAGAAGCCCCTGGTACACCCTTTTTACACTCCAAAAAATGTGTTGTAAATCCTAATCTCTGCGCCTGTGGTTATAATCCCATTTGGGAGTGGGTTATCTTTGTTATGTTAATGAAGTAGGATTAGTGTAGGGTGTATCTTGAGTCAGTCTTTTCTGAGATATGAAAGAGATTAAGCAAGAGAGTGAGCTAGGAGAGATGAAGGAAGAAGGATGCCAAGCCACGTGAATACTGCCCAGGAGCAGAAGCTCAGAAGAGTCAAGGACCTTCCTCCAGAGCTGACAGAGAAAGCTTTCGCCTAGATCTGGCACCCTTAATTCAGACTTCTAACCTCCTAAACTGTGAGAAAATAAATTTCTGTTTTTTAAAGCCATCTACTTTTGGTATTTCTGTGATAGCAGCACTAGATAACTGTCATGGATTGAATTGTGTCCCTCAAAAATACCTGTCAACTTGCGTAGGCCATGATTCCCAGTATTGTGTGATTGTCCACCATTTTGTCATCTGATGTGATTTTCCTATGTGTTGTAAATCCTATCTCTATGATGTTAATGGAGCATGCTTAGAAGCACTTACGTTAATGAGGCAGGACTCAGTCTACAAGATTAGGTTGTGTCTTTAAGTCAATCTCTTTTGACATATAAAAAAGAGAAGCTAGCAGAGAGACAGGGGAACCTCATACTGCCAAGAAAATAGTGTCAGGAGCAGAGCGTGTCCTTTGGACCCAGGGTTCCTGTGTGGAGAAGCTCCTAGACCAGGGAAAGATTGATGACAAGGACCTTTTTCCAGAATAGACAGAGAAAGCCTTCCCCTGGAGCTAGCACCCTGAATTTGCTCTTCTGGCTTCCTAGACTGTGAGAAAATATATTTCTCTTTGTTAAAGCCATCCACTTGTGGTATTTCCATTATAACAACACTAGATAAATAAGACAATAACTAAGACAGACTGTTTGCTAAGCATCCATCCATTACGGGCCAGGTAGTGTGCCAGCTGTCCTTCCATTTCCTTCTCACAACTTCTCCGTGAGGTAGGTTGTAGTGCTTCCTATTCCATATGAGAAAACTGAGACTCAGGTGCCCAACCATAACTGAGCAGTGAAGAAGTGCTGCCTTAGCACTCCAGATTGAAGCTTCCCCTTGTCTCACATTTCTCATAAATTTCTAGCCTTTTCATAGGATTATTGTTATATTACGCATAATTTTTTTTTTTTTAATTATAAATGTGAGCAGGAGTAAAAGTGCAGAAATACAGGTTTAACACGAGGTTCTGTATTAGAGGACAAGGTTATCGCTCCTGTCCATTGAATGAAAGTAGTGATATTTGACTAGAGGTTCTGCTAATTTTCTCTCCTTGCCCACCTCCCCCAGAAAGAGAAGTGTTTCCAGGAAACCTCCCTAAATGAGGAATGGGTTAGTCACATATGTTTTCCAGACAACAGGAAAATACACAAGATGATCTTCTGGCACACTATTGTTATGAATTTTGGCAGATACATCTGTAATGTTTGTTTCATGTTTTATTTTGAGCATCTTATCAGGAAACCAAGTATTCAACTATGTAATCAGTTATTTCTTTTCAAAAGTAATATTTTACTGGAGAAAAGATTTTAAATAAAAAATAAAATAGTCATAGGCTTTGGAAAAAGAAGGAAAATGAATTGTATCACTTCCTTTCCTAAACAAAACTTATTAAAACCATTACAATGAAAGTATAAACAATTAAATTTCACATGCAAGTGAAATTTCATTTCTGCAGTCTTTCTGCTATATATATATATATACATGCAAGTAATTTTTCCCAACCAAAATATTTTTCTTTCCTTTTTGGTAAATAACTTTTTTATTTCTTTCCTGGAATATAGATAATTGTGGCACTGGGGGCTTTAAAGTTATGTTCTGAAATCTGACCTGTTATGATCATAAAATAATTTCCAAGGTTGACATTCTTCTAGTATTTTCCTTTGTCCTTAGTCCCTTTCCAGTCCCTCACAGATGTGAATAAACTTTTGAAATCCTACCATGATCATTGGGGTTTTGGCTTTAAGTTTATTTTATATGCACTGTGCAGCAAGCTTGGTAACTCACACATTTTATGAAGCCTATAAACTTTATTTTGATTTATTTATGAGTTACTTATGTCAACTGGAGGTATACTTCAATCTAGAGAATAAAAATGTCATGTTAAACCTCTCTTCTCCCCTCTTTATCTCTTTTTTTAAGACTCCTGTTCCAAAGAGTGCACTTATTCCAGTCATTCCCATCACCAAATCAACAGGCTCCCGGTTCCGGAATAGTGTGGAAGGACTGAATCAGGAGATTGAAATAATAATTAAAGAGACTGGGGAAAAGGAAGAGCAACTTATAGTAAGTAATTTTGTATCTTAAAATAAATTTTATACATGAACTCTTATAATCATTAAAATACTCAGAATTTTGTTTTCCATATTAGGTTTCTTCCTTCTCATTGAGAGAGAATGAAAATTTGTCTCTTTTGAAAAACTTTGAACTTGGCAAGTGAATGAAAAGTTTTTATTTCTTTTCACCTCATAGAGGCAACTGCTCTGACTTAAATTTGAATCCTTGAACAGAAACTTTTTATTTATATGTATTTTAAAATCACTAGACAGGTGATGATACATTTCTCACTTGCTATAACTTCACATAATAAAAGTTTAGCTTACTAATTTTTGGGTGAGTGGGGGTTACATGATTCTACATGTTTATTGTTTGGTAGCCAGTTACTATTTGGTTGGCATGCTAGGCTATATCATCATGAACGGTAGTTAGAAACCATCTCGTACTTACCCTTTCTACCAACTAGACTACACATAAGAATGGTTCATATGTAAGCCACAGTGAGAAAAATTACTGTTTAGATTTTAAAACCATGTCACAGAATATTATCTAAGCCTCCATTCTTTAATGAAAGAGGAATTGAGTTTGAAGTTACATTTTATTGATGGTTAGGATCCTCTTCTCTTAAGATAAAAAGTTGGTTTAGCTTAGAGAAAACACACTTCCCCACATCTCTCCTTCCCCAAACTACATAGTAGGGAAACTTCCCCTGACGTAATAAAGGTAAATGAACCAAGGGTCTTTGGAGAGCTGAGTTTCTCTGCTAAATGAGCCACAAGGAGACTAAATGAGTGTCTCCTTGATTTCCTCTGTAATTAGCATTGCTGTGATTAAACTTTCCTTCATTTAGGAAGGTTTCACTGAAAAACCCTTCCGGGGGAAGTAAGCAGGAAGAAAGAGTATCAAGGGCCTGTCATTAAGTATCACTAGTTCACACAATGAAAACCTTTCTTTCCCACTAATGTGGAGCCTAGCGTCACACTTAGTTTTCTCCTCTTTTACATGGCGTTCCTATATAATTTTAAAAATAGCATTAAGTACATGATAAGTAATTCAGCCAGTTCATTCATTCAATAGACATTGGCCACTTCCTACATGCCAGGTCCTGGGAAGACAGTGTCCTACCTCAGGCTGCTCAGTGTCCAGTGGGGGTGTCAGAATAGACAGGAATGTCACTAACAGAGCAGCACAAAAGCTTTTCTCTCGATCGCCTAATAAGTAGAAGGGGACTTCTGATTTGTGACTCTCTGAGACTACAGTGAAAGTTATTGGGTACATTTCTGGGTGAATTTCAAAATTAATGATAAATATGTGTATATTTTAAAAACTCTTTAACAGCCACAGGATATTCCAGATGGCCACCGTGCACCTCCCCCCCTCGTGCAGAGAAGTAGCAGCACACGCAGCATCGACACGCAGACACCTGGCGGGGCAGACAGGGGGAGCAACAACAGCAGCCGCTCGCAGTCTGTGTCCCCTACCTCGTTCCTCACCATCTCCAATGAAGGTAGCGAGGAGAGTCCTTGTTCAGCTGATGACCTGCTTGTTGATCCTAGGGATAAAGGTACAATGCCGGAGGAATTTGTGGCTAGATGATGGTGAATACCACCCATTTTATCATTCTTTCTGTTCATTTTCTTGCAGAACACATACACTTGAGGCTACTAAAGTATTTGCTTTGTGACATGCTGAAAACATAGATTAAAAAAATTGGAGCCCAAAACAGTAGGTTTTATTGCAGTGTTCAGGCAGTGGTTTGATTGAGTGGTTTATGGACTTTTGTTTGTACTTTTTTTTTTGTTTTTTTTTTTAGCACTTGTTCCTTATTAGTGAGAAAACATATTCTTTTTGGTATAAATAAGATAAACATTTGTCCTAAAAAGCGCTTTGTTCTCTGGCACCATACAAGTCATCTGTTTTTACTACCTTAATACTTCATAGCTGAATGCAAAGCTTTCAAGTTAGTGTTTTTAGGGTTTATATTTGTGATAATTTAACAAGGATTAAACTAATTTATCTCAATGCAAAATGAGTATTTAAGGCAAGTCTAGAGTAAAAAGTTGAGATGGCTATTTGTACTATGTGTACAAAACTATTTATGCTAGTTAAAAATATAGCCTGGAGACATAAGTAGTTTGTATATTAATTAAAAATATTTGTATCTTTAAAACTTTTTGAATCTGTCTATATCAGGAAAATATGCTGTTGGCTCACTTCTAGTTACTGTGTATACTTGAGAGCAATAATTTGAAAATTTATATGTAAATTCTATATCTCAGTTCAGTAGTCATTTATTTAGAACCTACCACATGCAGTGTATTGAATGTCCTAAAACATTTCATTGTTATGATTGACGATTACTACTAATTACCTAAACCAGTGAGACTGTAGCAAGTGCAGAGGACATAAAATTCACTGAAGAAGTCACTTCAAACTATGGACAGTTACAGACTGTTGTTATTTGGACTTCTTTTTTTTTTTTTTTTTTTTTCGCTAGGTCAGGTAAAACATGGCTATTAAAATCTGGCCCCTTATTTCTACTTTTATATCAGTAACATGTAGGAACTCTGTAAATGTTGTGTTCTGCTATATTTGATTTTAAGAGACTGGTGGCTGGTTGGCTCCTATGGATTTCTGTTGTAAGTAAACAGGACCACAGTGCTACTGCCATCAAGAATTCTGTAGTTTGGCTGACACAGGTGAAAAATTTAGAACAGTTATATATAATACATCAAGAATTTTAAGTTTATATAGTATAAATTGAGGACATCCGCATTGGACAGGAGTATCAGAATAAAGAAGTATTCTCTTTAATAGAGTTAATTTGGTTGGAAAGATTTTAAAAATTTTGAGTTAAACGTTGAAGAAAGTTTTGGAAAATTAACAGAGAAGAACCTTTTAGGTAAGGGGAATTTCACAGACAAAGGGAATTCTTTAGCGTACAGTATGCATATGTTTATGCCTATCCAGAGCAGAGATTGTAAGCAGAGGAACGGAGAAATCAAACTGAGAAATTCTGAATAGCAGACCAGGATTTATGATAAGCAACAATGAAGAACCGTTTCAGATACTTGTACTGGGAAAAATGGAAGTGGTGTTTGAGACTATGTTCTGTGCGCAGAATAGAAAGAACGCAGCCAATTAGATGAGTACTCAACACTGCAGGATTAAATGATACAGGCATAGGCTATGGTAATTGTAAATGAAGAAGAAATAAAAATCCTTTATTATTTTATGCATTTACTGAATAAACATGAATTAGGTCCTTTTTAGTAAATCAGGAGTTGTGGTAGGTATTAGGGAGATGAAGATGAATAAAACACTGTTTCTACCCTCAGGTAGTTTACGGTGTGGAAGGAGGTCAGGAACAATTGCAGTACAGTATGATTATATATTTATGTAGTAGTATTTCTTAATAATGCAACGTGTCATTTCTTTCAGAAAATGGGAACAATTCTCCTTTGCCCAAATATGCAACTTCACCAAAACCTAACAACAGTTATATGTTCAAAAGGGAACCTCCTGAGGGTTGTGAAAGGGTCAAAGTCTTTGAGGAATGCTCGTAAGTATGCCCCCCACCCCAACTTGTATTAGAATTTTCGGATAAGCTGAAAGTTGTTTTTTTTTTTTTTTTTTGTTAGTCCGCCAATTCAGGGACCGAATTCTTTTACTTTGATGAAGATATTGTAAGAAGCAAAATATGAGACTGATAGTAACTGGTGCTGTTGGTATGCAATCTCCTAAACTCACGTACTTCTGTTAGCTGGTACTAATAATCAGCAACTCCCATTTTAAGCTTGTAATTCACCGAGAAAGTATGCAGCCTTGTGTTTCAAGTAGTTATGTCTTGTTGCTTTACAAGTGGTGGCTACAGGATTTGAGGTAGGTATGAGACTGAGCAAACTAGGTGATGAATATTATTTGGGATGTAATGATAGTACTTAGTCCTGACCCTCCAGTGTCACTACTGCTGTAAGTCCAAAAGCTCCCCTTCTGGCCTTTTCTCACTGAAACGTAAAAGAGAGTGTGGAGATTGTCCATCCTCCTCCGATACACACAATTTGTCTTCTCCCTCTTTATCATGAACAACTCAGAATAATGTGGCATCCTCTTGTTCCTCTTACGTGGCTCGTCCTGTCAGTGCTTCCTTTAACCTGAATTCTGAATAGTCTTGCCACACAAAGAGCATTGTTACTGAATCCTTTCAACTTCTCTACTAGGGAACACCAGCTGTCAGTCTCCCATCTGCTTCTATGACAGTAATTGAAAACTTTGTTTTAGCAAATGTTGATTTCAGTTTTTTCACCATGTCTGTGTATAAGTTTTGACTGGTGCCGGCTGAGAGTTTTAGCCAGTATTTCTCCAGATTTGTTCTGTGGACTCCTTACATCATAATTACCTGGGGTATAAGTTAAAACTACAGATCTCCAGGCCCCATCCCAGGCCTAATAAATCAGTAAACATGGAACTAGCACGTGGATTCTGCATTTTTAACAATATGATTTTTATGCTCAATTTGAAAATGCTGGCTTTGATCTTTCCATGAGTTCTTAAGAAATGGGGCCAGGTCATTCTGCTAAGTAAAAATCACTTGGTCCAAATGGACCTTTTTGGAGTTGGGTTTGTTGGTTTACTCATTGGCAGGTAGGATTTGACTGTTCCTGTTGTTGTTAGATTCTGAGTCATAGCGACTCTATGTATAACGGAACAAAACGTTGCTTGGTCCTGGTATGTTTGGGCCCATTGTTGCAGCCACTGTTTCAGTCCATCTCGTTGAGGGTCTTCCTCTTTTTTCACTGACCCTCCACTTTACCAAGCATGATGTTCTTCTCCAGCGATTGGTCCCTCCTGATAACATGTCCAGAGTAAGCAAGACAAAGTCTCCCCACCTTCGCTTCTAATGAGCATTCTGGCTCTACTTCTAAGACAGATTTGTTCATTCTTTTGGCAGTTGTGGTATAGTCAGTATTCTTTGCCAACCCCACAATTCAAATGCATCAGTTCTCCTTTGGTCTTCCTTTTTCATTGTCCAGCTTTTGCATGCATATGAAGTGATTGAAAAGACAATGGCTTAGGTCAGGCACTCCTTAGTTATCAAAGTGACATCTTTGCTTTCTAAGATTTTAAAGAGGTGTTTTGCAGCGGATTTGCCCAATGCAGTGTGTCGTTTGAGTTCTTGACTGCTGCTTCCACGGACGTTGATTGTGGATGAAGTGAAATGAAATCCTTGACAACTTCAGTGTTTTCTGTTTATCATGATGTTGCCTATTGGTCGGTTGTGAGGATTTTTGTTTGCTTTATGTTGAAGTGTAATCCATGCTGCAGGCTGTGGTCTTTGATCTTCATCAGTAAGTGCTTCAAGTCCTCTTCGCTTTCAGCAAACAAGGTTGTGTTGTCTGCAGGATTTGCCTAAGTACAGAGAAATGTTTGATTGGCTCAAAAACAAATTGAAATTTTTAGAAATCACTTTGTTGCTGTTGTTGTTTTAGTTTTTTTTATTGTTGTAAAAATATATACAGGCAGTCCCTGGGTTAGTAACTTCCAATTTATGGACAACTTATACTTAAGACTGGACTGTCATAAAGCCTATTATATTAAAAATTTGAGTTAAATACATACAATGGCTCATAGTAGTGAATGCTTGCACTACTTTATGACATTCACGAAAACACTGCGTGGTTTGGAAGTGTTTTTAAGTGTTTATGTGCATAGAAAGGTAAAAAATATGCTATATACTAAGACAAACATTTGACTAACTCATGCCAAGTAAGAACCATATGTACCTGTTCCGACTTACCTACCAATTCAACTTAAAGACAGACTTAGGACTGGATCTTGTTCATAACCCAGGGACTGCCTGTGTAACCACATTTGCCAGTTCAACATTTCTCAAGTGTACAATTTAGTGCTGTCAATTACGTTAATCATTGTTGTGCAACCATCACCAATAATCGTTGAATTTCCCGTTAGAAATGACTTTGAGTGGATATTTGTTTGTAGGTTGATGTCCTGTGGTATCTGCCTTAAATGATTACATTTGGGAAATTTCTCAGACCTTAATATCTGAGCTATATACTAGTACGTTATTTGTGTCTGAAGGGAGGGAAGAAAGGACAGATATGTGTGTGTGTATATATTAATGGCTAGATACGGCGATTGATCAGTAAAAGAAACATAAGATAAACTCTTAACACATTACATGTTTTATGGCACATTCATCTGTTAATAGAAGGTAAAACATTGTTTTTTATGCGCATAGTTTATTACAAATTTTGCTATTATAAAAGTTGTGAAGTACACAAAAACCTATTTATTTTTAAACATTTTAATTAAGTTTCAAAAACAAATTAACAGCAGTGACTCAAGAGTGAATTTCTTAGAGGTAATTTTAACCTTCTTTCAATAAAACAACTTGCTTAAAGTTTAAAATATTTGGTCTCTTTTTTCACTAACTGTGTCAAAATTAGAGCAAAAACCACTGGACACACTAGCATTAAAGCAGAGGTAGATTTTTGATTCTAATTAAAAATTTTAGCTTGCGCAGTCATTCTTTAAAGAACACTTTTCTCTCTAAAGTCTTACTTTTGGATTAAAGTAGTAATTCTGACCTGAACTAGGGGGTGAGGTGGAGTGGGCTGGGATGGAATGGGGGATGGGGTAACTCTGGTTTCTAGAAAGGTTATCTGTTTACCTGAAAGCAAATAGATAGTTGGATTTAGGCCAAGAAGGCCTAAATTTTGCACTTCTATCTCTTTGTATTCTGTATATTCTTTTTGATACAGTACATACCATAGCCATGCCACCTGCACCTAGTAAGTCCTTTTTAATGAAGTTAAATATGCTGTTTTCTGATCCCAACGAGTGAACTCTTTGTACTTTAGGTTCCTAGATATTAAAGACCCTTCACAGTATAGAGGTATTTTTTTTTAATATAACATGACTTATGACTTTTCTTCTCTCCTTCCTTTTCTTCCTTCCTCCCCCCTTTCTTTCTAATTATAAGTAACTTGGAACCACCATTTTCTTTGCCAATAATTTACGCTTGAATTGAAAAGAAAAAAAATCAAGCAAACTTTAAAAATAGATACCAAAGAATTCCTTGCATCAATATGAAAATACTTATAATAATTATCTAGCCTGTCCATTCTCCAGAAAGTCAGCTAACAGTTATATCTGCTTTGAGACACAATCCTTTTGAAATAACTGCTTAAGGAAAAATAAAATTTTAAAACCAGTTCTGAGGTTTTAATTCCCCTTGTATGAATGATTCTTAAGTTGAAGAATGCTTTGAAGTAATGTTAGTACTTGCAGCTTCTATTAGTGTAAATGCAGGTCACATAAGTCTGGGGTGTATAACGTGGATCTTAGGTAGTTTATGCTGCTAGACGTTAAATGTTAGAGCTCAGGGGAGTAATTACTCTTGACTAGAAGAGGGCACAACAGTGTTTTGGGGCTTCTTGCTGTTAATGTTCTGTTTCTTGATCTGGGTTAGGTTATTAGTGTTTATGTTATTTGGTGTGAAATGTGTCATAGGTCTGTTTTCATGAAAGCTGTAGGGAAGTTCAACTTTTTTTAGATTCCTGTCATTAGAAAAAAATGTTTTCCAGATCAAGAACTTCATCAAAGTCAGGAAGTTTCTTTGTATTTCAGAAATGTGAAGTTTCAGCTCCAAAATCCATTAGCAGCCACACGTCTTAAGTCAGTTTTAACAAGATAGCCTGTATCAATTAAATAAGTTAATTTTTAATTAACTCATTTGGGAGTTGTGTGTAAAAATTGACTAGCCTTCTTTTTTTCTAATAGAGGAGTGAAAGTTATCTCTATAATTCTATCTTCAAAGGAAAATTCAAGCATTATTTAATTATAGAAACATAACCTCAACTTCCCAGCCTCTTTAAGGAATTGAAAACCCTACTCTCAGATGGTAAAAACAGACGGGTGTTTGCTTTTCCTGTTAGTAATATATGCACATACATTAGTGGCACTAAAAGTGCTTGACTTAATTGAGTTTCCATTATATTCAAGAAAGAATAGTAAACAAGTAAAACATAATTTAAATGATGTGCTTTCTTTGTTCTTAAAATTTTTTATTTGTATTTCCCAAAGCTAGGATATCCATGGGTAGTATTCACTATTAATCAATAAAATTAGCCCTCCTGAAACATTGTTGATTTGGAACACACTTTTCCACCCTCCACCGATGTCTGCTGTTTACTCGTTCTTTCTCATTCCAGTTCAGATATTACTAGCTTTGGAAAGCCTTTTTCCTACCTAAACTCTCCCTCCTCCATGCCACTGGAGGTGTTCTTCATTCCATTGTGCTACCTCTAAACCTTTTATAAACCATTTTTATCACATTGATCAGATGCTCTTGCAGGAGTTTTTAACTTTTTTTTTTTAATTGTGATTTAGGTGAAAGTTTACAGAGCAGATTAGTTTCTCATTCAAAAATTTATACACAAACTGTTTTATGGCATTGGCTGCAGTCTCTCATTTTGTCAGCACTCTTCCCCTTTCCCTGTCCCCCCTGGGTTCACCATGTCCATTCGTTCAGTTTTCCTG